ACAAACAGAGAGCATACTTTAAATTGAGGTTATGTGAGGAAAGGTTCGGAAGGATTCTTCTAAACCAACATCCATGTGAGGGATATCCTTTTGACAGCAGACACACACCTGGAAGAGATTAACGGGGTGCCATCCTCACAGAATTACAGTACCAGATTTGTTTACCATGTAAAACAGATCTTTAGAAGACCTGCCATGGCATTTAAAATCCATTAACAGAATAAGATTAAAACAAGTATCATGTTACTTTAATTTTCCTAGTTGGGAATGGAAAGTACATTTTCACTTTTTTACTACCATCCCTGTAAAGGCCATGAACCACTGTTGAGAAACCTGGGTATGCGTATTCATATCATAAAAGCACATAGAACCAATGCAACTAGCAAAACCACTCACATCCAGCAAGGAAAAATGGCACTTCCTCATACTTCATGGACTTCATAAGAACACAGAGATTAATTCACTTTTCAGATATATACATATAACAGAATAAAACAATCTTCAGTTGACTGACTAGTTTCTACAAAGTTGGTGTACGTATGGTAAAACACAAGAATTATCTGTTACATGCATAAAATGTTTTGTACTCAGGGATTTTCACCTAACATACAAGAGAATTAACTTAGGCTCATCAAGCTCATCTTCATATTGATTATATTATAAACAGTGACGAAGTGACCCATGCTGCTGTGTTTCTAAGGGGAGGATATGACAATTCTGGCATCTTTACACTGCCTTTAAAGAGCTATGAAGATGAAGCATTACCTTCCTGTGTAGCTAACATTCATCCTGATTTAGTGTACATGGACTGATTTTCTTGACGCTTTTAAGTAGGAAACTTACTTCCAGTGATGAGAATAGTTAGCTTGTCTCCAGCATATAGACACAACTAATTTTTAGACACATAATCAAAATAAAGGAAAAAGAATCCTCCTCACAAATTTACAGAATGAAAATGTCAAACAAAAGCACAACTTGAGCAAATACTTTTGTAGTCTGTTTCAGGAGTGGGAGTACAGCGAGTACCACCATAATACAAGTATCATCATTAGAAAGAAGGAAAACTGGCCTTCATACCCATGTCCTACAAAGCAAAAACTTTACTTCCTTATGGAGCATGAGTGAAATTAGCTCACAGGCAACTCCAAGGCAGGGACACTCACTGTGGTGTGTGTTAAAATAAAACAAAGGCTAAGATTTCTTTATGCAGCAGCAAGAGAACTAAGATTTTGAATCACTGGACTCAAGCTGGTGTTGAAGAGAAAACCAGGTTGCTTTAAGAGCTTCTAATCTCATGGGATGCCAGATGATGACAAGGGAGCTTAAGCTGAGGGTGCCATATAGACTGAGGAACTGGCACATTGGAAAGTCTACCTTCTGTTCCAGCAGAGGGCAACTAAGGTATCAGTTAGGCTGTCATTGTTACAAGAAGGAGAGGACAACAGCAGGCGATAAAAGAAAAAGATAAACCTTGATCAGATTTTTTTTTCCCCTACTACATCATTAATTTTTAAACAGAATTTTTCATTCCTTTATTTCAATACACTGATAGTTATTTCTGGTTGTGACCCTCTGCCCATTAATCTCTTTACTTTTAAATTCAAATTCATTATTTCCTTTTTAGATTTTAAACGCATAAATGTTTTGAGGCATAGTTGTGTCTGTGTGTATCACTTAACCTAATGTTGCCTTGGAAACAGTCATTTGAAGTAGATGAGACTGAGATTACAGGATATAATACCACATCAAAAGAGACTTGCAAAGCCTATACCTGAGTATCTGTACAGTGGGGAACTCCAAAGTAAGAGCAACACGTCATTCACAAGTGGGCCAGGGCAGTGGCAGGTAACTAGTAGTGTTTTGAATCTTCAAGGGAAGAAAGGCTCTTTGTTGCATATGCATATTTATAATAGAAATAATGGTTGCTGCATGACCAGATGCTGATGTGATTTATAAAATGGGTAGTAAACACGGATTTCTGTGTTCAATAAATTCAATGAAATTTCCTTTAAAGGCTCTGAAATGAATGGTCTAAAAGAATGTACATATTTTAACCTTGTGCTTCTTGATGAACTGGAGTCTTGGCATGATGCTATAGGTAGCATAGGTGCTGGATTGCTAACCACAAAGTCAGTGGTTCAAACTTAGCAGCCACTTCTTGGAAACCCTATACAAGATTGTTATGAGTTGGGACCAACTCGATGGAACTTAACAACAAAATACATGATGAAACAACTTCTAACTTTGTGGTTCAAAATCAATTTAAGAATCCTGTGTCAACATTGGTTTCAAATCAGCATAGGCTTTAGATTTAGAAGATGCAGCTTCCCTACACGTGTCTTGAAGCAGCAGCTCTAACATTTGTAGAAGAGCATCATAAAAACCAAAACTGGATAGCCATAAAGTACTCTCACACTTTGTAGAGTAACATGTGAAATTTGTGATTTTATTCTACACTTTTACACTGTTTTGTTGTCACTGTCAGGTGACGTTGACATAGCTTCAACTCATAGTGACTCTATGTCAATCAAAATGAAATGCTCCCCGGTCTTGTGCCTTCCTCACAATCAGTACTGTGTTTGAGTCATCACTGTAGTCACGGTGTCAACCCATCCACTTTAACAAGTATGGTGTCTTTCTTTCTCCAGAAACTGGCTTCTTCTGATGACATGTCCAAAGTACGAAGTCTTAACTCTCACTTCTAACACATTTCTGTAGTATGAGTATAGTTATTCTTTTGCGATGCCCATAGAATACTCTGAGTAGATGATGTGTACATAGGATGTATCAGTATTTATATGTAAACATCACAAAATGTGGCAAAAATAACGCAAATTATGAAAATAGTTTATACTTCGTCTAAACCAGGGGTCAACAAACTATAGCATGTGAGGCAAATGTGACTTCCCACTGCTTTTGTATGGCCCATGAACTAAAAATTATTTTTATATTTTTAAATAGATTTCTTTTTCATAAAAAAACATAATATTTTGTGACACACAAGAGGATGGGTCAAAAATTATCCACACTCTGGTTATAATAAAATGCCCACCCACTTCCTAGGCTGATGAATAAAACATAGAGGGTGCACATGAAATGATTCTGTCGAATAGATGAGTGACAGAGGATTATGTGACAAAGCATTTACAAATCAGTCATGGCTCTGCCTATGAAATAATCCACGACAAACTTGGGTTTCGACAAGTTTGTGGAAAATCGGTACCTTAAACAACTCAAAAAAGAGCATAAACAGATGTATTTGAACACCTGCATACAAAATTTGAACTGATACTCGAAAGAATGTTTAAGTTGCTTCAAAAAAATCGTTACTGGTGATGAGACATGAATTCATTACTACGAGCCTTAGAGTAAATAGCAGAGTATGGAATGGAAATATAATTAATCGCCCAGCAAGAAAAAGTTCAAAAGTCAACCATCAACTGGAAAAGTGATACTTACAGTTTTCTGGGAACACTATCAGGAAAAAAGTTCAACACTCAACAGTGCTCATTACAGTGAGATGTTTACTGAAGAACTGAAGCCTAACTTCGGATTAAGTGAAGAGCACTGCTAACCAAAGGTGCTGTAATCTTGCATGCCAATGCACATCTGCACATTCCTACCCACACTGTTGACACTCTGCAAAAACTTTGTTTTGAGGTGTTAAAGCATTCTCCATATAGTCCTGATCGTGCTCCATTACAGTTTCACCTATTTTGTCCTCTGAAAGCAACCCTTTGAGGATGAAGATTCACCTCTGATAAAGAAGTGAAGACAGCAACTCATTCGTGGCTTGCAGTTCGGCATAAGACACTTTTTAATAAGGGAATCTAAAAGCTTGTTGACAGATGGACAAAGTTTATTGAAAAGCAAAGTGATTATGTAAAAAAAAAAAAAAGATGTATTTGTCTTTTCTAAAAGTTGATTAAAATAAATTCTACAGCCAGAGTGTGGATAATTTTTGACTCACCCTCATATAAACTATATGAAATTCAAATTTCACTGTTCATAAATTAAGTTTAATTGGAACATAGCCATGCTCAATTGTTTATGTATTGTATATAGCTGCGTTTGCACTTTAGTATTGAGACAGAGACTACAGGACCCACAAAGCTGGAAATATTTATTATCAGGCCTTTACAGAAATAGTTTACCTGCTCTAAATCCATGGAGGAATCTTGGAGTGCCGCTGTACGATATGCATTAGACTGGTAACCCAGAGGCTGGTGGTTCAAACCTATCAGCCACTTCTTGGAAACCCTATATAGGGTTCACTATGAGTCAGAACCAACTTAAGGGCACTTAACAATAGCAAAAACAAATTCATGGAAGATATATGAATGCTAGATGAATGTTTATAGTATCATCAGTGTATGACCTAATTTGGATTCATTTATAGACATGATATACATTATTACATTTGAATAATATCATCTACTTAGAAAACAAATAAAAATAAAAGTATTATCAAAAAAAAGACATATTTCTCTGAAATGTTTAGGACCAGCAAAACAATCATATATAAAAGCAATATATTTTCAAGGAAAAAATAATAAATGAACAGCTTAAATTACATTTCAAAGTAATAATTTCAAGGTTCCTCAGAGAATGCCAAGCAGTAAAAGATCTCAAAATTCTTACAGCACATTTCTAGTTTCCAAATTTCTGGGATACAGTGCTTAATACAATATTTCAGATTCTACAGTTGTTATGGAAGAGACATTGTACAGTTACATACTATTTAAAAAGACAGACAGAAAGAAAAAGGCAAGAAATCTTTAAATAAGAAACCAACCAATAAGAGGATGGCCAGCAATTTAAATTTTTTCTTCTTCCTTTTTCCATTAACAGGGCTACATAGTCTGCTGGTACAGAACTTGATAGAAACTGACTGTTTTCATTTAGTGGGCTGATCCCCATATCTGTGTCAGATAAAAATCATAGCACTTTTTATGTGTTACCATGGATACCATGAAGATACTGCCATCCACTAAATACTGTTAGAGGAAGACAACATAATTTTCTGGGACTAGTCCAGTTTTGCCTTCATAAGTTGCCTTTAACCATCCTGGTTCCACCGATGGATACACTGGCAAAGGAAAAAAAAAAAAAAAGCCACCCAGGCATTATTAACTTCAAATAATCATATAAGCAAACCAATAAAAATCCGTATCATTGCATAAGTGCTGAGCCACTAGGGATACTTCAGATTTTACCAACACACTAGCCATGCTTCTTCCCCATAAATATGGACTCAGGGGAAGGGAATGGGGGTACTTACCATTAGAAAATATTGCCCCCTGTGGGAACGAGAGCTCATGGCTGTGCTCTGCTTTACAGGAATACATGGCTTTGGCTTGGCTGAAAGAGTAAGACACAATTTATAAAAATCACAACACTCAACTCGAGTATATTTACATAAAACTGGTCATAAAAATGTGATTAGTTTTTAGTTGTGGGTGGAGTATAAGGTTCATCGAGAGTGAACATTTAAGCGTACATAAATTTTTTTTCAGAAACCGAACACACTTGTACAGGCAGCACCTAGATCAAGAAACTAAATTCCTAGCACAGCAAGACTCTTGTGTTTCTTTCCAGTCAATGGTCCCCAAGGCCTGACTTAAAATAGAGACTGGTTTTAAAGAATCAGACGTTCCTTAGAAACCCTGGGTTGCTAGGATTCAGAACTGACTCAACAGTACTTAACAACAGCATTATTTAATTGTTGTTGTTGTTTGTTGCTGTTAAGTGCCCTGAAGTCACTTCCAAGCACCCTGTATAGGCTTTCTGAGGAGTGACTGGTGAGCTTGAATCACCAACCTTGTGGTTCAAATCAACTTTGCAGGGCAGCACATTAACCCACAGCACCACACCAGGACTCCCTTACAATCTATTCTCTGCATATCAATAAAAGGTGGTTTTGAACAGGTTCATCAGATCAAGCTATTTCCCTAGTTTTCTACTCTGACCTACAAACTGTACATGATCAGGTGCCTGCTAATGTCTGCTACCTATTTTTGCACTTCTCTCTGCTCACCCACTGCACTCCAGCCACATTGGCCCTTTCTTTTCCTTAGAAAGGGCAAACTCCTTCATGAATCAGGATGGCTGTCCTAGCTGAGCCCTCTGCATGAGATACATTATTAAAAAAAAAAAATGTATTGCCTTCCCCAACCCTGAACTATGATGTGTCTACCCCTTACCCTGTGCTCTATTGTCATCTCCATTGACCTCCCCCAAACCCCCCACCGGTAACCAACAAAGGATTTTTTTCTTTTCCATTTTAGTATAGATATCTTTTCTTAAGCATTTACAATAATGGTCTTATGCAATATCTGTTCTTTTGTGACTAACTAATTTCACTCAGCATAATGTCCTCAAGGTTCATCCATGTTATGCAGTGGCTTGCAGCTTTCTTGTTATTCTTCAAGGTAGCATAATATTCCATTGTGTGTATGTACCAAAGTTTGTTAATGCCTTCTTCCATTGATGGGTACTTAGGCTGTCTCCATCTTTTTGCTGTTGTAAACAATGCTGCTATGAACATTGGTGTGCATACTCATGTTATGGCTCGTATTTTTTGTGGGTAAATACCAAGTAGAGGAATTGCTAGATGATAAAGTATTTCTATTTCCAACTTTCTGAGGAAGCGCCATACTGTTTTCTAGAATGGTTAGGCCATTCCCCCCAGCAATGTAGGAGGGTCCCAACCTCCCCACATGAGATGTATTACTCTTGATGTTCACACTGCTATGTGCTTCAAACTCATAATTAAATTCTATGAGGTCAAAGCACGGCCTTCCTCAACCACACAATCTAAAACAGCTGCCCAGGCAAGTATCCTATCCTCTGGGTTAATGCTGTATGCTATTATAGTATCTGTTATTTTGTTGTTATGGGTGATAATTTTCTCTTCCTCCCCAACGAGAATGCAACTTCCATGAAATTAAGAACAAGATATAGCCCATGTCTGACTATATCCCCAGTGCGTGGAAGGTTGCAGATGCTTACTAGTGACAACTATGGTTTTGTGTCAATTTGGCAGGGCTTGGGTTTTTAGTGGGTTAGCAGTTAAGACACAATTCTTCAGGATGAGAATTACTAATGTCTAATATCATTGTTTCCACCATGATGTGATCAGTTTTTAACTGATGTAATTATCCTACGTGTTGTAAATCCTCACTTCTATGATGCTAATGGGGCCAATGCAATCTACAGAATCAAGCTGGATCTTGAGATAATAAAAGGAGAGAGCAGGATAAAGAGGGACCCATAACCACGTATAACCACTAAAAGGAGTTCTGGTAGGGTAGTGGTTATGGGTTGAGCTGCTAACCGTAAGGTAAGCAGTTCAAATCTACCATTCTCTCCTCAGGAGAATGATAAGGCTTTCTTCTCTCATAAAAATTTACAGCCTCAGAAACCCTGTACAGGCTTGCTATTAGTCAGAACCAACTCCACGGTACATAATTACCAACCAACCATAACCACCAAGAAAGATGAGTCAGGAGTAGATTGTGTCCTTTGGACCTGGGGCCCCTGCACTATGAAGGTCCTAGATCCAGAGAAAGACTAAGACAAATGAGATCTCCAATGAATGCTGGACCTACAGATGCTAGTGTCCTGAACTGGAACTTCTAATCTCTCAAACTGTGAGAGAGCAAAACCCTGTTTGCTAAAGGCATCCACTTGATAACGACCAGCACTGGATAACTAAGACAAGTAGTAATGCAGGAAATATTTGCTGGTGAATGGATGAAAGGGAGGGAAAATGCCCTAGGTTCTTTTTCTACATGATAAGACCTTTAAAAAAACCCCAAGGCACCTTGCTCTCTTCTCTCCCAGGTCCCAGCAGAAAACTTCAAGGAGTCATTTGTCCTTTACAACTATGCCAAAGCATCAGTACCGCACTGTGAGTCCAACGTGGTTCCTTCTCCCTCAGTGGAGCTAGACCTCGCAGCTTACCTCTACACTTCCAGAAGGAGGTGCTGTCATTTAGCCTGGCCTTCCCAAAGGGCAATCTGAAGGCTGGAAAGGTTACAGAAGAAAATTCTGGGCTTGTCCCCAGAGTTGGTTTCATATGGGGTGAATTTCACTAGGCAGATTGGGAGTGAACGTTTGACCAGATTACCACCTCCCACTAAACCTCAGTCTGTGGAAGAATTGAGGCTCGTGAAGAGTAGCTGCCTTGCAATAAAGAGCTCCTTGTCTGTGCACGTGAATGCACACGTGTGTGTGGGGGGGAGGAAGAGGCTATCTGAGACTTCTAAGAGTCAGCCTATGGACATCTTGAGAAGAAACGATACTAGTTTTTTCCTATAAATCTTTTAGCCAAGGATATCATTTGATTGAATGATAGTATAATTGAGGAGTCCTGGTGTGGTGCTGTGGGTTAATGTGCTGGACTGTAAGGTTGGTTTGAACTGCAAGGTCAGTGGTTCAAGCTCACCAGCAAGTTCTTGGAAACCCTATAAAGGGTCGCTATGGGTTGGAACTGATTCAACCGCACATAACAACAAGGACATAAAGGAAGACAGCAGAGCTACTTCTCTATAAAAATATGAAGTTTTTTTTTTTTTTTAAAACAAAAATACTAAATTTTCTAACAGAAAACACTGCATTTTAAGAAACACCAAATCTTACTGTTTTGTGTCAGTGAAATAAAATTATTTCTTTGGTTAAAGATATGTAAGACATAACACTTATTTTGATGTAATTTTTTTGAAGTTGCATTTTAAGATTCTCTTCAATATTTAATTCTCTTTAATATTTCAGATATGGATGTTTTCCTTATAGCATTTTATGAGACTGGATTAGGATGGGAGCAAAGGAGGCATGCAGGATAATTATATCACAAGTAAAAACAAACAGAACAAAATATCTGTCATAACTTTTCAATTGTCAGTGACTAACTGGAACCCAAACCCATTGCTGTCAAGTCTGTTTCCACTCACAGTAATCTTACAGGACAGTGTGGCACTGACCATAGGGTTTCCAAGGCTGTAAATGTTTATGGATGCATGCTGTCACATCAATCTCCTGTGCAGAAGCTGGTGGGTTCAAACCACCAACCTTCTGGTTAGCAGCCGAGTGCTTTAATCACTGCACCCCCAGGTTCCTTTCTGCACGTGACTATACAGATACCATTTTCCTCCACTGAGATCTGTAACTGCAGGTGTTAACTCTGCAGAGAGCTCTGATGATTTCATGTGGACTTCGGTGACAGTGACGTTTTCTCTCCAGGTGCTAATGCTTCCTCCGTTACTACCTTGGTCTAGTGAAGAGGATGTGAAAATAACACTGTCACCTATTGTGTCTTTCTTCAGAAGGTTCTAACGTCCCTGAGAAATGGATTTTTAAAATCTTGCTTCTTACTGCATGTGAGAGTAGAGAGTAATATAATGACATGCACAGTCCTGAAAGACATTTTTTCCCCTCTCTTATCACCAGGAAGATGATCTGTACACAGTCTCATTCCTAATTCTAAATGACCTCTAATGCTCATGAGTAGATGTACATAGCGCTGAGAGGATCAGTGTGAAAAATTCACTCTTGGTATCTTGACAGGAGGAGCCCTGGTGGTGTAGTGGGTTATGCGTTGGGCTGTTGACTGCAAGGTCAACAGCAGTTCAAATCCACCAGCCTCTCCTTGGGAGATAGATGAGACTTTCTGCTCCTGTAAAGATTCATAACTTGGAAACTCTATACAGGGTCACTATGATTCAGAACCAACAGAATAGCACACAATCATCACCACTACCACCACTGACAAAGTCACTGAGTCGGGACTAACCTGATGGCAATGGGTATCTTGATAATAAGGGAAATCAAAGCCTCACCAAATCAACATTGACAATGATATACACACATGCATACACACATTGTGTAGACTACTGAGTTTTATTACTTCTGGAAGGAGCGCACACAGATCTAGTTACCAATAAGTCAAAGCAGTACTGTACATAAAAGGAAAATAATCCCAACAATCTAAGTGTTCAGTTGTTGTTGTTAAGTACCGTCCAGTCGGTTCCAACTCCTAGAGACCCTGTATAGGGTTCCTGAACAGTGGCTGATGAGTTTGAACCTTCAATCTTGAGGTTCACAGCAACCTTGAGGTCGAGAACTTATCCAATGGTGCCATACCAGGACTCAGTAAGGGATTTGATAAATTAGATTTATATGTTGTTATTGTGTGCCACTGAGTTGATCCCAACTTATGATGACCTTATGGAACTGACAGAACTGCCTCATGGGTTCGCTAGGCTGTAATCTCTACAGAAAACACATTACCAGTTCTTTTGTCTTATGCAGTGGGGGTGGGATTGAACCACTAAATTTTCAGTTAGCCACTGAGTGCTTAA